GGGGCGGGGGGGGGGGATCGGGCCCTGCCATGACTAAACCCCCCACCCAGATGAACCCAACGAACCCCGCCGGGGAGCGTGAAAAGCCCCAGCTCCAGGACCAGGCACGTTCATCCCCGTGCAAGCACCCCTCGAGGGGGGGCAGGAGGCGTTTTTCTGGAGGGCAGTTGTAGCGTTCCCACCAGCCCTGCTATTTCTAGACATGCCCCCATTTAAATCCCCAAGGGTCCCACCAAGGCCGCCCCCACCCCAGGGGGACACAGGATGCCTGGGGGGCGGTCGCGCTGCAGCTCCGCAACACGACGATGCTTGGAGACCCCCACCCACTGGACACACCTTCCTGCACCCCCACCTCCCCATTAGGGCCAGCAAAAAACTGCCAACTGCACAAGGGCTTTCCTCCCCCCGCACCCCCCAGAAACACGTCCCCGTGAGCAATCCTCAACCGCAGCCGCTCGCAGCCTCCGTCCCACCCATGTGCAGGAGCCGCAGCTCAGCCTCTTGCTCCAGATCCCACCGAGCTGCCCCAGGGCCGGCTACTTTGCCTCATCACCGTGATGCCAACGATGTCCCTTTGTGCCACCCTCCCTCACCACTGCGGGCAGAGGAGGGGGAACGGCGGCCAGGGAGGCAGAGGGAAAATTCCCGATTCCATCACAGCTGGAAGGCAAGTCTCCCATTGCTGCAGGGATTTAATCTACATTTCCCTGGGATGGATTAGCCTTTGACTACTCCATTAATTTTTACTGAGGTTCGCTGGGCAATTTTTACTAGGGTTTGTTCAGCGGGAGGGAGCGGGCTGGCTGGGCCATCCAGATGCTGCACGCTGCCTACCCAGCCGGGAAATTGTAACCGCGCCAACAGACCTGGGAAACAAAGCATCTCCCGCAGGAATCTGCCCACATCTGGGGCCCTGGCAAAGCCCAGAGCTCGCTCTTGGGCAAGTGGGGGCTGAACCGCAGCCGTGCCGTGCGAGGGGTCCCACGGCTGCTTCAAAAAGAGGGGGGGAGCGGTGGGATAACCACCCCCCGACAGCGCTTCGCCTCCCGCCAGAGGGGCAGAGGGTGCTCAGCGGGGCAGCACCAGCCTCTTGCTCTGCCCAGGGCCCGAGGAAAAGACATTTGTGGGGCAAGACAAGGCGTCGGAGACACCATCGCTCTCGGCAACAAGCAGAGAACAACGGTACTTCGACTCCAGCGCGCGGTTCTCAGCACTGCTGGAAGCAATGCTACGCAACGCTATTTTTTTAATTTTTTTTTTTTTTTTTTTTTCCAATTAGAAATTCAGCCCAGAGTTCAGCAGCTCCAGCGGCTACCACGGACCCCAGCGTGCTTCCCAATTAACCAGCACAGCCACCCCGGCCCCCCCCTCCCCTTGCCCCTCGCCGATTACGGAACGCCATGCGAGCCCGTTACATAAACCTAATTAGCAGGGCTCCACTTTCAGCATGGCAAATGGCTACGCTAATCCGGGATTTGTTCTCCTAGAAACTAATTTAATCACACAGTGCCAGCCAGGCTGTTCACGTGGCCGAGGGCGAGAGCAAACCCAAAATCTCTGCCCCCAGTAATGAGCCATTATAGGTAAGCCAGCCTCGCACGCTGCCCTCCTGCACTGCAGCAGAGCAACACACACTTGGGGACCTTAATCCTGTACAACAGCCCCAGACAGAACCGACTACTTAAAAAAAAAAGAAGTAAAAAAAGTAAAATCTAAGAGAGATTTGGAGAAAAAGGCCAGGATGTGATTAGACCTGCAGCCTGCCCCAGCGCTGCTCACGTCGGTGAGCAAGAACCCAGGCTCCAACGGCTCCTGCTTGGGACAGTGATGAGGTCACGGCCACCTCGGATGTCAAGTTGTCACCTCGGATGTCAAGTTGCCACCTCATCCCCAAACAAGCAGCACCTCCGCTCCTTGCTGGTGCATTAAAGCAACCAAATTGTCACCAGCTGAGACACCGCCAGGCTCCCTGCAGGGGGGTGAGGGGGGATGAGCCTGGGCACCCTCAGGGGTTACCACGATGCCCGGCCGCTGCGGCGACACCAGCCTAAGCAAGGCTGGGCTTTGCCTCTTTACCACGATGGCACTGCTCAGCCGTAGAAGCATCCTTCAAAACTCCTTCCAAACAAGCCTGTGGTATATGAAAGGGAAATTAATGCGCTGCCAACTGCAGCAGAAGCCGCTCATTTAAACTAATCTTAATTAGTTATCTCCAGGATAACCCAACATCAACAGCAGGCTTCCCCAGGCACTAGAAGATACCACCAGCGTACGGTAATCCTATCACTCCTCAAGCTCGGTGCGTTCTGAAAATCATGAGACAGGTTTAAAATTTAAAAAAAAAATAAAAAATCCAGAGATTTGAACGTGTAGAAAATGTTGTTTACATTCCCTTTTATTTGCTTTCTGGCTTTTGAAACTTCGGGGTTGTGTTTTCAAATTTGACTTTACAAAGAGAAGAGCTATAAAGTTACCTAATTAAAAAAAAAAAAAAGTGAGATTACAGCGCACTCACACCACACCAAGATCCCATGTTTTAAGAAAAAAAAAACTGAAATATTTCCAAACCACTAATAAGCACGAAGTTCCAGAAATTGCCATCGCTGCGGTGCTCGCAGCTCTGGCTCGGAGAGGTGCAGGGTACAGGGACCCTGTGGGACAGGACACCCCTGAGCAGCGACATCTGCTCAGAAGCATCCCTGAACTTGCCTCAAAGTTGCTGTGAAAGCCGGAGAGGAAGATGCACCACATGAAGCCAACACTGAACTATTTTTAATATTAAGTTTCACGAGCACCAGAGGACGCGGTACCTACGACAGCAGGGGCCTGGCCTCTGTCACCCCCGAGCCTGCCAGCACCGAGACCTCATCCGACATGAAAGGGGAGTGAACACCTGCATTTTCTGAGACACAGACCCGTCCTGCCCAAGGCACTTCAGCCACGGGCCGGGCTGGTCCCTACACGCATCGTCCCCGAGTGCGGGCGCAGCGATGCCTCCGTCCCGCCTCGAGCAGCGCTGGGGACCAGGCTCAGGGTCTACCTGCACCTCACAGCCCCAAGGCACAGCCCGGCCGCCTGTTGAGGAAGACTTCTGCCGTCTCTTGGGGGTTAAAAAAAAGCCCTTCGCTCCCTCCTTCTCCTTCCTCCCCCCGCCGAGGGACTTCTGAGCCACGGAGCGCAGGGTCTTTGGCAGCCCGGTCACGGAGCAGCTTCCAGGGTGCTGGGCCAACACCCACCGTGTTTAATTTCCTCCTCTCATTCCTCTGTAGTGTCTATTGAGCCGCCCTGAAGGAGAGCCTTTGAGCCAGCTCAAGAGGTAACGCAGGCTTCAGGAAGGGAAGACAAAAGGGAGCCCGTACAGTCAGCAACTTCGGTTCTAGGGGAGCTGGGGGGGCTGCCGGAGCCCTTTGCAGGTACCAAACGGCTGAGAGAGGTTGGGGAAAACAGAGGAACTGCTGGTGGGGCTTCTGCCCACAGGGCTGGTGGGATGCTGGGGGGTCGGATACCCCAAGTCAGGTTTTCAGCCCCCAGCACCCACGGAGCTGCCGCTCCCGCATTCTCAGGGCATTAATCTTACCAGGAGCAGAGCTGCGAGAGCAAAGCCCCTCTCCCCAGGCTCCCAAACACCATGCACATCGTCACAGGCTTATCATCTCCCGGGAGGAGGACGCGGGCTGGTTAACCTCTGAATTCCTAGCGGAAGGGCTAAGGGAAAGCGGGGTCCTCGCTTTGCTCCATCAGCCATGTGGCTCCTTTTGCAACTGGAGAGAAGGACTCTCAGAGGCATCAAGGAGAGCCCCAAAGACAGCTCTGGCAGCACAGGCTTGGCAACATGGCATAGAAATAGGCTTTAACTGAAGAAAATTAAGAGCTGGGGAGAGATGGGTGGTCTTGGTGACAGCAGAGGCAAATAGAGCCCATCCAGCACCGCCTTCGATTTGTCCTTCAGCATCCAGCACCGGGGCAAACGCCTCCGCAGCAGATCCAGCATCGCCCTGTCCCAGGATCCAGCCCAAGGGCTGGGCCAGGCCCAGCCCCAGCCGAGAGCCAGGTCTGCACCGGAGGAAAGTCTCCGGGGGGAGCCCAGCTCCTTGCACTGAGCCCGATCAGAGCCCAGCCCGAAGCGGAGCGGGGCCAGGCTGGGGGGCCCGGCTACGTGATGGGTTTCACAGGGCACCAGCTCAGTATTTTACTGTTTACACTCTTTTCTCCAGCCAAGTGTAAACGTTTTTTTTCCCTCGACTGTGGAAAGGTGAAGCAAGGACATCTGCAGCCAAGCAGCATCCAGACTTCGAGAGCTCTGGCAGCAGCATTCGGTTCTGCAGCGATTTTAATTTATAACCGCACGCATGGTAACCTTGGAGAAACGCAGGAACTGGACTCCTAATCCCTCAAATTAAAGAGCATCCAGAAATCATAATTTGGGAGTTTTCTTCCTTCTGAGCTTTCCACTAGAGGACTTTGTTTCTAGCTTAAGAAAGTTGGCTTTCACACACAGCCTTAAGTAAGTATTAAATCCAGCACTGACATACGGCTCATCACCCCACAGGATCCCAAAGCCCTCTGCAAGGGAAACTCCACCTCCTGGGCAGACCGTGTGGACCAAGCTGTGAGCTCCTGGGATTCAGAATCTGACTTGTCTGTTCGCTCAGAAGTAGTAGCAGGTCTATAAACCTCCTCAAGCTGCCCAAGCATGAGGCTCTCCATCACCCAGACATTTAAAACGGAGCCACAGGCACCCAAACCAGCGCTGCAAGGCGGCCAGGCCTGGGCAGAGCAGCCGTGCCACCAGCCCCCCGCCTTCCCTGAAGGAGTTGTCACCCCGTAGCACAGCGAACAAGCAATAACCCGAGCTGGGGTTTGTGTGCCGGCTAGGTGACAGCTGTAGCCCATCACCACCGGCCTCCCCAGGAGCGCCCCAGATGGGGCAGCTCGCTTGCACCTCCGCTTTAGCTTAAACCCTAGCAAATGCTTGAGCGCGACAGTAAAAAAAAAAAACAAAAAACCACAAAACAGGATGGGCTTTCAGGCTGAGGGGGTCTTTGGGAAATTTTTTCCTCCCCAGCATCCATCCACGGGGCAGAGGAAGGTAAGCTGGGCTCTCCCGGCACACACACCACGTGCTCGAACGCACCCCGAGGGATTAAGGATGGCTCCGGCGAGGGCGCCTCGGCTGCGAGAGCCCCGTCGCCGTTTCAGGAAGGAAGGGGCTGGCCCGTGGCTCCAGCACTCGGGGCACTGGGCAGGTGGGACAGGCAGAGCCAGCCCATGTGCTGGCCGTGGGACCGTTTCACATGGGTGGAGGAAGCACCAACCTTCACCACCCAGCAGAGATCGTTCAACTGCTCCAGCTGGACCCAGCTTGACTACTCCAAGCCCAGCACACAGCTCCAGGACACTCAGCAGAGCCCAGGACCCCCCGACCCTGCCCGTGATGAACATTTGGTCTCTGTTTCCTCCATCCAGAACCAGCTGCTGTCTGCGCTCAGCCTGCTGCGGGCTGGGGGACAGTGGGGACGCCAACTCTTGGCCAGTTCTGTCCTAGACTTGGGTGAGCAGCCAGCAACAGCCTCAAGCTTCAGCAAAAATATTAAAAATTCAAACAGCAGCTTAGAACAAGCAAGGAACAAAAATATAAAGAGGGCAATATAAGAACTGGAGCCTCCTTTCACGGCGAGACCTTTCCTTTGGCACTGAACCGATCGGGCCACAGCAGAAACACATCCCGATGCTCCAGCCACGTCCCTCGCACGCCACGGCGGCAAGTGCCGGCTGTGCCCCATGGGAAGGGCTCTGCCACTGCAGCCAGATGTCACACACAAGCGTCACCCTGTGGCCTGGTGACTTGCCCTGTCTGGGCATGAGCTGCCCATGTCCTTGGTCTACAGCGAGCAAACATTTGGTTATCTCCCCTTGGCAAACAACTGGGCCATTAAGTGATGGGACTCAGACAATATTTAATTACCCTGATCGTGGGAAGGGGGCAGCAAGGGGGAGGCAGAAACTGCAGGGGAAATTCCACAACCGGAGATTAAACGGAGCTGCAAAACAGCGCTGACAGGTTAACAGACAGGTAATATCCCAGCAGTGTTTGCTTAACCAGGCGAGCTCTCCGGCAGCCTGAAGGAAGGGTGCACGCCGTATCCCAACACCAGGAGACAGCCCCAAAAACCAGTACAGGAGAGCTGGACGCTTCTCCTCGGGCAGGCAGGGAGCTGCCTGGGGCCAGGACTCACTTCTGGGAGGTGGGTGCTGACCCGGGGTGGAGCAGTGTCTGCTTCTACATCGACTGCTGGATCCAGAACCCTTCAGTGCAGTGGGGCCAGCCCAGACCGTCCTTGGACCTTCCCTTTGAGATGGTTGGTGACACCCTAAAACCTCCCCCAGCAACTCGCCCATCCCCAGCTCCCAGGGAGAAGCAGAGCACGGGGAGCACTGAGCACAAGGGCTGCAGAGCCTCCCCGTTCCTCACGAGCCCTATCAGGCCCTCCGCCAGCCCTCGCTGGGTCCCCTGAGGAGTTTGGAAATCCTGGCCCAGCAGGTGAGGTCCATGGGCTGCCAAGCACCATCCAAGCCGCATTCGGCAGCGGGAGCTAACGAGTGATTAATAGAGGTTACAAGGCTGCATCAGACAGACAGGAATGTGTTATGAAGGGCAAGGAGCACATCAGCGAAAGGTGTTAAAGAGCCCGACAGGTTGTTTATAACCCTCCATGAACAACCGATTAACCATTAATCCTCTGTTAGTGCTGCTCTTTATGAGCAAGGACCCCCTGCAGCAGAGGAGCCCACCGGGTCTGTAGAGAACTGGAGGCACTGGGGCAAGAAACCCCAAAGCCCACAGAAACCCATCGGCCTCGTGGGCGCTGCCAAAAAAAAAAAAACACAAAAACACAAAGCCAAGAACCCCAGCGGTCAGATATTTGTTGTGTAGCTGCCACTTGGGCCTGGAGATGGATCATGTCCAAGGGAGGAACCGACAGCAGGGTCTTACTCTATGGGGATTTCCTGGTGAAATGCCTTTGCAGATGCCGACGCTCCTGACCTTGAGCTTCCCAGTATCACCACTCTGTCAACGGCACATTGAGGTCGTCCAGCACCTTCCCAGCAGCTGGTCCCATCCTGGCCTTGGGACAGGTCTGCTGGGGAG